TTTACAGAACTGACCTAGGGAAGCTCACTTGCTTTCAGTGTGATGGATGCAAGGGGATTACACCCAAGTCTGGGATCCTGGGTGTGTCTGTGCTAGGGGAAGGCAAGAGAAGAGGGTGAAGGTGAGACAGAAACCAGAGTAATATTATACTAATTAGTACAGATCAGTCCATGAACTACAGCAACCAAAACACCTTTGAGCTGATTGCAGAGGCTTTCCTTCTGTTTCTCTTGAGGATTAACTAGCTGTCTTGTCATTGTTTTTTTTTGTGACCTCTTCCCTGTGATGCTGATTGCTTGACACAGTGGGTCTAATTATCTCCAGGCTTCCAGCTTGTTTTAATGGAGGGGAATGTTTATCTGTGTGAGCAGAGAGACTTGCCTATCCCGAGATCCTGAAGTCTTTCCTCGGGAAACATAGGAATAAAATTGAAAGCTGGTAATTGATGGGCAGAAATGTAAACTTTTTATTTATGGCATTTTTAATGGCAGGAAGTAAACATTGCTTCTCCCGCCTTACAGTTCTGCACTACAGTGAGCATAGGAAATCCTGAGTTCTTTGGGGGAATTGCCTCTCTCTGCTAGTATTTGGTTTTGAAGAGACAATAAATTCATGCACTCAGCCCTGATCATACAGGGTGAGGCAAAAGTAGGTTTATGGTTTTGAGTGCATGGAACACAGAGTTTATTCTTAATTATTATATTATTTTCCATATGAACAACTGTAAACCTACTTTTGCCCTACCCTGTATAACTCAAGGAAGGAAAAACCCTGTCCAGACAAAGGACTGCATTACATCTGAACTTGGCTCTTTAGCAACGTGATCCTGAGACTTTGGCTCTCAAACAAGAGAAAAAAGAAGAAATGGAACAGTTGAATTTCTAGTTATCTGTTTGCTTATTCATTTATCCCACAAAATACTTACTGAGGTTCTGCTATATGACAGGCACTTTTTTAGATACTGGTGATATAGGTACAGCAGTGAGCAAGACCAAGTTGCCACTCTTTTAATTTCATACTTGAGTCCATTGAGGCAATCAAACAAATATAGGATATAATTTCAGACTGGGGTGAGTGCTGTACATAAAGTACAACAAGGATATACAGCTAGGATCAAGAGGTAACATAGACCTAAGACATGAAGGATGAGAAAGAACCAGACTGGGAACATTTGTAGAGAAGAGTGTTCTGGCCAGGGGTTCAGTGCCATCATCATAAAAACATGCTAGGTGGCTGCAATAAGAGACAAATTCTCTCTACCTCATGTCTTTTTCTGTGCTTCCTTCACAGAAAAACTCATCAAGAGAGTTGCTTTCCCCCCCCATCTCTTCCTCAATCTTCTCCAAGCAAATATTCTTAGTCTCCACTGAAATGATTTTCATTTAAGTCATCTTCAACCTTTACCTTGTCACCTCCATTAAGTAACTGCATCCTGAGCTGAATTTTCTGTTATGAGCCCTGCTTCCTAGTCTTTCCAATGGCCTTGGTTTCTGCTCATCCCTAACCTTGACTGCAGCTCTGCTGATCTCAGGAGCTGCCAAATGCTGCCAATTAATACCATTTTTCTTTTCTTAACCAAAATTCACTTCTATTGCTTCCAACAAATAAGACTCTAATTGATGCACTTGTATTTGTTATATTATTGTTGGTTTTTCCCCCAAAGCTAAATTGTTCAACATATACCACAATCCTCCTTGATTCTTTTGCTTATATTCACTGCTTTCTTTAAAATGTTAGTAGTATCTTATTGAGTACCTATCTGTGATTTTTCTATGATTGATTAGTTGTTCTCATAGTTATTTACCTCTTGAGAGTAAATCATTCATTCATTTAAAAACATTTATTATTATGTATGTGCCTATTACAATGCAAGATATTGGAGATAGGCATAGTTCAAAAAAAGTCATTGTTCCAAGACATAATTGTTATATTAGTACACTACTGAGAAATTTCTCATTTAGGTTGTTTCTATTTTAAATGTTTTTTAAAAATATTCTTCATGTTTTTTCCTTATGCTTTGCTACTCTAAGTCTTGTAGAATCTATGCCCTTTATGTCACTATTAAAATTTCATAGAGATTCATTAGCTGTAAAATTAAATGTAATTATTCAAATATTATATTTTCATTTCTTTAACAATTTTCTTAATATTCCAATAAAGAATCTAGTCTCAAGTAAGCAAGAAAAAGCAAGGTGATGGTAGAGAATCTTAAGAAGCCATTTCTCAGTAAAGTCACCTTCTCTACTAGGGTTTTCTCATGGCTCAAGGCCAAATGGATAAACATGTTTTGATGGATATTGTACTGTGAAAGATACTTTCAGTTACAAGTTACAAAAAAAAAAAAAAAAGCAACTCATGATAGTTAATCATAAAGGAATGCTAACTTATGTGACTAGAAGGTCCAGAAGTTTCAAGGTTTTTCAAAGTTAATCAATGATGTTATCAACACACTGTATCTTTCTATCTTGCCATTCTTCTATCAACAGTGTTGGCTTCTTCTGAAGGCTTGCTTTCCTCATGGGATAGAATGGCTGCCAGTGGTAGCTGAGGCTGCAGGTGACTTTGTTCATGGCTAGAAATAGAGAAAGAGGGTTGTCTTCCATAACCTTAGAACAAAAGTCCTATGTTTTGTTTTAATTGGGTGATTCTAAGTAGCTGGACCACTACACCTGGGGAAATAGTGATTGACTTAAATCTGAAAGATACACTCGCATTGAAATCAATCACTTACGGCAGTGGAAAAGGATCCATCAGAACCCGCCCTTAGAACTGGAGGTGGGATCAAATCCATTCAAATTATGTTGCAACCACATACTGGGAAAGGATAAAATATATTTGGGAGGCTCCAACACTATCCAATGCAGGTGTACATTTGTGTATATAACTTGTATATAATTTGCATATGTATTTCTTATTTGATTATTTTATGATAGAAGTAATAGTGATCTTATCTTCCTAACATAAGGTGTTGCCATATAAGTACTTTACATATTTTTCATATTATCTAGACTGGGAAAATATTCAATAACATTAATTTACTATGAATTATTTGTCTATTTTTGTATTTTATTCTTTCTTAATGAGACATATCAGTAAGAGAAAAAGTAAGTTAAAGAAAAGGTGAGTACACTTAAAAATTTGATCTGAAGTATAGTCTTGAGAATCTCTGTATTTGTCAAAATTATGAAGTGACTGAATAGTAACTATGTAGTAGCTTATATATAACTTATTTTCAGAATAAATATTTTCATTAAAATACTTTGTACTCAATAATTTTATTATGTTTGTAAAATTACCTATCACCATGTAGCTATAGCTTAGAAATTATTTTGATATTTCTATGTCTCATTATATATTTCACTTTAAAATAACATCTATTTTAATCTATTGCAAAGAATGCTCAGTCTTCATCTTTACCATCATAGAACTAGCAACCAAAATATCTAGAAAACAAAATATCTAGATCAGTTCAAAAATTCACTGAAATCTTTCTTCAGATTTCAGCATAGTTCATTTGAGTAGTTATTTGTCTGTTTTTCCGAACAGTCATTGAATTTATTGCCTTGATTGAATGCTAACTATGTGCCACGCACTGTGCTATGCACTGAGTGCAAGCGTGACTATGTGTGTTGTCTGCACAGATGGACAAGGATAATGAGAGGTTTCTATGTCCTTCCTAAGTACACAGAACATTGAAGGGAAGGTTAGAAAATTCAGAATTGGACCAATAACAGGAGAGAACAGAGGTGTGATAAAAGTACACATATTTTCCTTACAAGAGTGCTCATGCCAGGCCACTAAGTAGCAAGGAAGAGTTCTCAGCTCTACCAAAGTCTAAACATGTCTGGCAAGTCACTTCCTTAACCTGTAGGTCACATCTTCATCATTATCCTTCAGTGAGAAAACAACAAACACTTTAGGACTTGATATGAATGTTGAGTCAAAAGTAATGACAAGCAGGAAAGACAAACAGCCCCATCTTTACTTGTTCAATGCAGGAAACATTTTGTTCACCACTCTAGAAGTATAAATCATTCTGAGCTATCAGCCTGGTGGAGAAAAGACTTTTCTTAGAATCTGTCCATTTCAGCACAGGGCAGTATTTGCTTCATAGACAATATATGGAGATTATTTAAAAAATCAGTAAATCCGAAACAACTATAAAGTACTGAAAACTGTTGTATTTGTAGCTTTAATTTTAGGGAAGAAAAAGAGTTATTAATTGCAAACTAAGCAAAAGAGAAGAAATTTGACCTTGGAGAGGTATAATGTGTGGCAAGTCAAAAACAAGGAAAAATGTTTTAAATAGACCAACTTTACAAAGCAACTGGTTTTGTCAGTATTCTTAGTGTTAATTACGAATACCCAACCTATACCACACAGGGGAAAAAATGTTCACAATGTACCAAATGCATCTCAACTAGTGAATTATTGCTTGTGCTGGTAAGATGTTGATTATTATTTATTATTTTGTGAGAAGGTTTGTGAGATGCTTGCTGAATCTAAAAGCAATTCAGTAAGTGTACAAAGTGCCAGAAACTGATAAGACAGAGCTACCTACCCATTTTGAATATATCACATTTGTCATTTATCATTTAAAAAGAATTATATTGGCCATCCTGACTTGCATTAGCAAAAAAAGTTACATGAACAGTAAATCCCAACACTGGGTAGAAATTTTAGGTAAAAGAAAGAAAATAAGAGACTGAAAGGTGAAAAGCATGAATAAGTACTTTAGCAGACAACATTCTTAATTTTTAGCTACAATTAACATACCATTATTAGTTTTTGTCTAAATGTTCCAGTAAAAACAGAATAGCTTCTGAATTGATTTCTAAATTTTAGTTATTAAATAAGTTTTGGTGAACTATACTACTATTGTAAAGATAAAAAATATAAAGAAATAGCAGTAACATTGCCATGCCTCCTTCTTCAGAAGCATATTTACAAGAAGGAAACGCTATAAACATCATTGTAAGGATTTACTATGTGTAATTTACCAAATAGCTGTGCCCAGCCTTCCAGGAGCCATCTTTCAATCTCTGCTGCTGGAAATGGACAACTATCAAATATTTGACAATAAAATATCTTCCTCACAATGGGAAAAACATTGACTATAATAAGACAACTTTGTCAAGGGAAAATCATTCTCTATGTAGCAGACATCAGCAGTCCCTTTCACCAAGACACAGATGAAAGGGATGCTTTCTGAGGCTGCTCCAAGAACAAATGTATCCACATGATAGAACGGTTCCCAAAATAAGCTGTCATGTTTGGCTTCTCTCTGTGGGTATATTGAATTTCCTGAATAATCCTTCTGTCATTTCACACAGAGCAGATGCAACAGATCAGCAACCAAACAAAACTCCTGCCAGTGAAGGTTGTTTCTTACTACCCCTACAGGAACTGCTTTCATTTGTCTCTTGACTTACCTAATGACATTAAAAACAACAACAAACCGCCATAAATCAAACATTGAGTTTTAGTGAATTATCAAAATTCCACAGCTTACAAAAAAAAAAAAAAAAAGGAAGCAAACAATTTGACACCATTAGTTGAAGTTATAAGACATAAAGATCAAAATCACAAATGAGATGATAACGTGGCTTCTCCTGGATTCACATCCTCTCATTAAAGTAAACTCTTTTCCTGGTTAATTTACAACTTCAGAAATAAAATGTTAAAGATTGCCTAAGAGCTAAATTATATTTTCTCAAGGTTTTTCATATCTTTTGAGACTTATATTTGAATATTTTTTTCAGAAAGTATCATTGTGATTTATTTATATTAACAGAAATATCAAATTTTGCTGGCAGGGAACTCTTCAGAGTCCACTAACCATTTATTATTTTCAAATAATTGAAACACTGTATTACATTAACTTTAATATAGTATTGAGTGCAGGAGAAAAGCCAGAAATTTAATGATAAAGTTTTTGCCTTACTGATTGATTTTATGACTCAAATGTTCAATTACTTCTGTCAGATATTGATATACTAGGAAAATACATTATATGAATTTCTAAAAGATACTTATTGAAAATATAAAGAAGGAAAAAACTGTTCAGGGAAAAAAGATCATTGTGTTTGCTCATTCTTTGGTACAGAAAAAGCATAAAAGAAAAGCATTAATCAGATTGTATAATTCAATATTACAACCTAGTGACACTAGTGTTAATGGCATACCCGTCACTGCTCACTGCATGCAAACTGCTGGGTACAGAGGCACAGCGTCGTTAATATGCCTGGGTTAACAATGACTTTATCTAGCAAACATTGTGGCATATAACTATGTTTCAGATAACATTAAACATTAATAACCTATTTAAGGTACTTCATTAAAACCCACTGTATGAAAATTTGAGTTTATACAGTAGATAAATTAAGGGTTGGTTTATTTGCAATATTGAAAGTTTATCCACACCATTAAAAAATCTCAACTTTTTTTTAGGGGAAGTCCATGCTCCCCTTTCTTTATACATAGTTTTGTGCACGTGAGGATTTGTGCATTTGGCCAGAAAGAGAATACATAACTGTCATCAGATTTTCAAAGATTATGTGTTTCAATGAAGTTTAAGTTTTTTTTTAGTGCAATGCCCATCCTTCATTATCAAATATAATTCAATTTTCAAAATATTGATTTGTTTTGCAAAAGAAAGTATACCCACATAAGAAAAAAATTGCTATAAAATGGAAAATATATATGTGCATTAATTATGAGAATGAATGTACTCAGAACCTTAGGAATATCATTAAATATAATACAACATCTCCATTTTTAAACATAATTTAATGGTGCATGGAAGATAGCAATACAAGCAGAACTATCATTTACTGAGATCTTACAATATACAATATGCCAGACCTAGTTCTATTTATATTATTTGATTTTAAGTCTTAAAACTCTATGATGATAATTATTAAGATTATTGCCCCTTCTTGTGCTGGCTGGTGTGGCTCAGTGGATGGAGTAGTGGCCTGCGAACTGAAAGATTATTGCCCCTTCTTATATGAAGAAACCAAGTCTTGCAGAAGCTAAACAATTTACTCAAGACCCCGCAGCTAGCAGCTAGAGGGCCTGAAATTCCAACATTCCCTATGTCTTTTTGGAACTAAAATCCATACTCTTCAACACTTTGCTATATAATACAGTTCCTATAGCCCAACACCACTCAAAATGTTATTGTGGATATTGTAGGACATGAAGCAGAGTACTCAAATTCCTCTACTGAAGATTTAATCAGAAGCCTTGCAATCACAGTACATACATCTGGAAACTGAAGAAGTGGGTTTTATTTGCCTTCCCTCCAACCCTTCTCTCTCATATCTTTTCAGGAACAAATATTAGTAAGTGTGACCTCACACTTCTCCTCCTCTTCCTCCTCCTCCTTTTTCTTCTTTTGCATTTACCTCCATTGAATGCAAAAGGCACGGCAACTTAATTCTAGACTTGCTTTCTCTTAAAACACATGTCATCAAAAAGAATATAAACTAGCCCGACTTACTTGTTTTGTGTGTGTGTTGTAGAATTAAAGAAAATACAATTGTAGAAAAATTATTTTAGTTAAATGACCCAGCACTTCCACTGCTGGGACTATACCCTAAGAATCCCAAAGCACCAATTCAAAAGAACCCCAATGTCCATAGCAGCACAATTTACAACAGCCAAGTGCTGGAAACAATCTAAGTGCCCATCAGTAAATGAGTGGATCAAAAAACTATGGTACCTTTACTCAATGGAATACTATGCAGCAGAAAGAAAGAAAGAGCTACTACCATTTGTGACAGCATGGATGGAAGTGGAGAGCATTATGCTAAGTGAAATAAGCCAGGCGGTGAAAGACAAGTACCATATGATCTTACCTATAAGTGGAACCTAATCAGCAAAGCAAGCAGGCAAAGAAAATATGACCAGCAACACTGAAAGAAAGAAGAAACCAACAGGGATGGGAGGGAGGGAGGGAGGTGGGTAGCGGGGAGGGAAAGGGGAAGGGTCAGGTCAAGGAACAGGTGTGAAAGACCCATGGACAGAGCCAAGGTGGGGAAGGATGGGAGGGGTAGGGGAAAGTGGTGGCGGGAAAATGAAGACAAATGTATTCAAAAAAATTTTAAAAAATAAATAAATAAAATTTTTAAAAAGTTTACATAATGAACGTCAAAGATTTTCTTTTCATGTCAACTGAAAAAAGCTTTCCAGGGATCCTCTGTGCCACCAGGCCTATCTTTGGATGCATCCTAAAGGAAAGGAATGAAGATTCAAATCCCTCCTGCTATTTATGAGTGGCAAAGTTATAGTTCTGTGACAGCATCTGTACTTGGACAGCTAAGTGGTGCTGCTTCTCTTGGAATCTTCTGGACTTAGTACACATATGTAGCAATAAAAATCACAAGCGTAATCTGTAGAACAACATATTTCACACTTTTATTTCAACAGATTTCAAAACAACCTGGTGAGATTGTAACTAAAGAGCAAAAGAATGTTTAATGGGATTTAGTGACTTGCTTACATAAGTAGAAGTACTGGGTGGAATCCAAGTGTTCTGATTCCGAATTATACCCTCTCTCCATATATTGCATGGCATATCTGGTCACTGTGAATGTCACCAAATGGAGAAAGTAGAGGTGAAACCCTGAGCTGTCCCTTCTTAGGTATGAATCACTCCTCAGGGAAAATCCTGGCCAGCATTTCTCTTAGGTCGAATTTTTGCCTTGCTATTTAAATGCTCTATGAATGAGGCCTGGAGCTACTCCTAGTAGACCAATCCCCATCTTCCTACTGAAACGTATATTCTGTCGAAATTTCCATTGACAACAGCCTTTCCCCTTGTACTTGTGGCTCATGTCTAGAAGTAAAATAATCTCTCAACTCCTTCATGGGAGGCATCGTAGGTTTTATTTTCTTTAAGCAGGCAAGGCTGGATGGGAACTCTTTTAGCCTTTCACACAGATTTTTGGACTTCTCTTACTTAACCAAAATAAGACAGCAAAAACTCGTAAAAAGAATAGAGAGTCAGACTTTGGGCAGAAGGGAAAGCAACAGCTCTGTTTGGTTTTAAACAAAATGTAGTGGTCACTCAACTGTGGCTTGACTGGGGTAATATTGCAAATAAGGTGATATGCTCCCCCTTCTCCATCCATCTCACCATTCTGGGATCTTCCTCCCTCCCCCTTCAGTCTACCTCTAACTCTCACCTTTCTAATTCTCGTCATGCCACCTTCCTTTGCTTGAGGGGGGAAAAAAAGAATACTTGGTTGATAAAAATGTTAACTTGTTTTGCTCACTGCTTGAATTCATCATTTTGTAAAAACATGGTGACTTACACTTAATGAATGTATAAGTGAAATCCCTATAAGATGTTATTAAATTTTTCCTCTAACTCTCATTAAAAAACATTTAAATACGTAGATGAAAATAAGGGTACCCTACCTCTTCCAAAGGAATCTTTTGAGATGGCATTTAACGTGGTGAAGTCAGAAGTCATAGGGGTCAAGGCAGCAGAGGCGATGTGGAATGGGAAGAGAAGCTTTCTTTTTTCCCCCAAAATGAGAGTTTCTAGCTCCCTGATCAGGCCTCATAAGCAGGGGGCCAAATGAGACATTGATAGGCCAATTCCTTGCATTAGGAAAAAGCCTAAAGGTTTTAAACTTTCACCCATATTAACACAGAAATGGTGAGTGGCATATATTGTTATTCTAGAGGAGGAAGCAGAGCTTCCCTCAAGTCATCTGGAGGCAGAATGCATGTGCCCCTATGCAGCACCTTGCCCACCCCAAGAAACATTGCCCAGGGGAACTGGGCATCCCAGGATCAAGAAGTAAAATATTTATCTTTTAATCTTTCAGAGACTCTAGACAAGCCTGGACATGTATAAGTACATCCTTAAATCTATATAAATACAGGTACATGCAAATAAATTGTATAGAATTTCTGGTCTTTATTGTGAAATCAAAGCAGGGAGAGTCCTTAAGAATCCCAGTGCTAACTGAAAAGTAAAGTGTTGATTGTGTATCCAG